CCCCGGGGCATACCGTCCCAATCAGGTGCGAATTTCCAGCCCGTCCTCAGGTGGGTTGAGCCCCAAGATCACACGAGAATGCCAAAGCCCTGTGGGACAGCCGCCCCATTGGGATCCGTACATCTGGTGATCGATCGCTCAATGCCTGCTGGGGGCACAGGGCTGGGCCAGCTGCGGGGAGGACGTAGAGGCTGCAGTGATGGGATTGTCTGCCGGAGAAAGTACAGTGTGTGGCTCACGCCAGGTCCAGGCTGCCGGTGGCCCTCCAGCCGCCTGCCAGCCACGGCACCCGGCTGCAGCTCAGCCCTCCAGATCCTATCTTCTTTCTCTCTCTCTTTCTTTCTTTTTCTTTCTTTTTCTCTTCCTTTCTTCTTTTTCTTTTTTTCTTTCTTTCTGCTCTTTCTTTTCTTTCTCCTTCCTTCTTTCTTTTATTCTTTTCTTTCCTTCTTCTTCTTCTTTCTTCTTCTTTCTCTCTCTTCTTTCCTTCCTATCTCTCTCTTTCTTCTTCTTTCCTTCTCTTCTTTTCTTTCTTTCTTTCCCTCCTCCCCTCCCTCCCTCCCTCCCTCTCTCTCTCTCTCTCTCTTTCTCTCTCTCTCTCTCTTTCTTTCTTTCTCTTTCTTTCTTTACGGTCTCACTCTGTTGCCGGTAGAGTGCAGTAGGCGTCTCCTAGTCACAGCAACCTCGAACTCCTGGCTCAACAGTCTCCTGCCTCAGCCTCCCGAGTAGCTGGACTACAGGCATTGCGCACCGTGGCCCGGTCTTTTTTCATACATAATTTTCAGTTGTCCATTAATTTTTTCTATTTGTGTAAACGGGGTCTCTCATTGCTCGGTGGGTCTCCAATCCTGCCTCGAGCAATCCTCCCGCCCCGGCCTCCAGAGCGCTGGGATGGACAGGTCGAGCCACCGTGCCAGGCCGGCACTCTATTTTCTTCATGTCTGACTTCTCTGGGCGTCTCTGTTCCCGTCCCTCTCTCCAGCAGTCCTGCCCGGCACAAGCCTCGTCCCCCGGGCGGCGGGGCTCAGGCGTGCCTCTTGCGCGCCCCAGGCAGGTGCACTCCATGGCGCCCCGACGAGGAAGACCCGCTTAGATTTCCCAGCGCTCCTGCAAGGCCTCCTCGTCCTCGGGCCGGCGCAGCTGCATGGTGCTGCCCGCCGGCCCGCACCCCAGGCTGTCCTTCTCCTTATGTTGGACCATCGGCTGAGGAGGTTAGTCCGTGAGGCGCAAGGCCAGCGGTGAGTTGGCCCCGCGGATCGCCAAGTAGACGGCGTGGAGGCCGCCAGCATCGGAACTGAAGACCTGCCTGCAGGAGTCAGCACTGGCCAGCTTTGGGGGGATGAGTAGGAGTTCGCCACGTGGAGAAGGGCTGCACAAGGTGGGCACCCAGGCCGGGCGCGGTGGCTCACGCCTGTATCTAGCCTCTTGGAGAGGCCGACGGGCGGATTGCTCGGGTCAGGAGTTCGAAACCAGCCTGGAGCAAGAGCGAGACACCTGTCTATACTACTAAATAGAAAGAAATTAATTGCCAAACTAAATTATATAGAAAATAAAGCCGGGCGTGGTGGCGCATGCCTGTGTCCCAAGCCTACTCGGGGCTGAGCCAGAAGAGATTGCTTGAGCCAGGAGTCTGAGGCTGCTGCTGAGCGAGGCTGACGCCACGCACTCTCTCCTAGCCTGGGCGACGAGTGAGACTCTGTATCAAAAAAAAAAAAAAAAAAAAAAGATGGACCTGGGGCAGAACGGCAGCCTGTGCAGGAGACTCGAGGTGTGGTTGACTTGAGACAGAATGGCTGGTCCCCTGTTGTTTCTTTTTTTGAGACAGAGTTATCGCTCTGTGCCCCTAGATGGGAGTGCCCGTGCCGTCAGCCTCGTCACAGCAAACCTCAGAACTCCTGGGCTCAAGCGATCCTCCCTGCCTCAGCTCCCGAGTAGCTGGGCACTAACAGGCACGCCCGGCCTCCATGCCTGGCTAATTTTCTGTATATATTTTAGTTGGCCAATTAATTATTCTATTTATAGTAGAGACGGGGTTCGCTTGCTCAGGCTGGTTTCAATCCTGGACCATCGAGCGGATCCTCCCGCCTCGACTCCCAGTGCGGATAGGGCAGGCGGTGGCCACGACTGGGCCTGGTCCCCTCTTGGATGGAGGTGCAGTTCGGTCTCTCTGGAGAGGACGGGCGCGGAGCGGAGTGTTGGGGCGGGCAGGCTTTGAACACGGCAGCATCATCGCCAAGCTGAGGCTGTCGCAGTGACCCGGGGCGGCCTGTGGGGTAGAGGGGATCAGGAGGCTAACGAAACCGTCCCTCAGGCATCTTGCCCGTGTACCACTCCCTCTTTGCCCTGGCCCGAGACTGTCTGCTGGTTTACCCCCCTTACCACTCTTCTCCGTGGAATCGGAGCACCCAGGTCCTGCTCTATAGACTCCGGTAGGCAGTGCCGCCCGCCCCCGGGGACCCGCCATTGGATCATCTCCCCGCACCCCAGGGGGCCACACTGCCCCACAGAGCGGGGCTTGTCCTTGCATTTCACGGAAGAGGCTGAGACCAGAGAGGGTGTGTCGCCTGCCCAAGGTAACAGCAAAATTAGGTGGCCACCCCCCACCCCTGTTGCAATTCCTTAAGCCGAGTCTGCCCCACCTGCCACTGCACCTTGCACTTGCCACCTGCCCTGGCCCCTGCTGACGGGGGTTCTCTGCTCCCGTAGCTTTATTCCCAATGAGTTCGAGCTGGAAGAAAATGCCGCCGCTTCGGGCTGCGCAAGGATCTAGCCAGCGCCGTGCTTGACCTGCCAGTCCTGGAGCACCTGTTTGCCCAGGTGGGTCCACGCGGGCTGCGCAGGGATGGGCTGGGCGGGATCGATCCGCCGGAGTGGGGGCCTCGGACACTCTCCCTCCGGGCGGCCCGGCGTGGTGGCCTGGTGATCCTGTGGCTGCCACCAGCACCGCAGTGACCTGCTGAGCGGGCACCTCCCCGTCGGCCTCAGCCTCAAGGAGCAGGCGGTGTCTCGCCTGGCGTGGCTGGACCTGGCCGGCTGCCGCGAGGCAGCCCGGCAGGCCAGGGGCGTGCTGATTACCGTCAGGTGAGGCCCGGCTGCGGTCGCCTAGGCCGAACGCGCAAAGGGGGGCTCCACGCGTCCCAGCCGCCCGCCCCTTCGGCCCCCACAGCCCCGCGGTAGGATCGCTTGAGCCCAGGAGTCTGAGGTTGCTGTGAGCGAGGCTGACGCCACGGCACTCACTCTAGCCTGGGCAACAGAGCGAGACTCTGTCTCTAAAAACAAAACAAAACAGGGGACCAGCCATTCTGCTCAAGTGCCACCACACCTCTGAGTCTCTGCACAGGCTGCCCCGTCTGCCTCAGGTGCCCACCCTGTGCGCCCTTCTCCACCAGCGAACTCCTACTCATCCCCCAAAGCCCCGGCCCCAGTGCTGACTCCTGCAGGCCAGGGCTTCAGCTCCCGATCTGGGCGCCCCACGGCCGTCTACTTCCCTCGGGCCGAGTCCCCGCGGGGCCACACTAAATCGTACATCTGTGACATCGATCGCTCATGACCTGCATGGGAAGGCACAGGCTGGGACCAGCTGCGGGGAAGGCATAAGAGGCTGCCAGGTTGATTGGACGATGTTCTGCCTCCGGGCAGGACAAAGTACAGTGGGTGTACAGACTTCACGCCCAGTCCAGGTGCCGGTGCCTCCAGCAACAGCCCTGCCAGCACGGCCCACCCGCCATTCGCACGCTCACGTCTCACCAGATCCTATCTTTCTTTTCTCTCATCATCTCTTTTCATTTCTTTCTCTCTTTCTTTCTTTCTTTTCTTTCCTTATCTTTCTTTCTATTATCTTTCCTTTCCTTTCTTTTTTTCTTATCATTTTTCTATTCTTTCTCACTACTCTTTCTTTCTTTTCTTTCTTTCCTCCTTACTTATCCATCTCTCTTTTCTTTCTTTCTTCCTTCTTTCCTCTTCTTTCTTTCTTCTTTCTTTCTTTCTTTCTTTCTTTCTTTCTTTCTTTCTTTCTTTCTTTCTTTCTTTCTTTCTTTCTAATTCCCTCCCTCCCTCCCTCCAATCCTCTCTCTCTTTCTCTCTCTCTCTCTCTCTTTCCTCTCTTGCTTTCTTTTCTGTTTCTTTGACCAGAGTCCTCAACATCTGTTGCCCAGGCTAGAGTGCAGTGGCAGTTGAAGCCTCACTCACCCCCAGCAACCTCCAGAACTCTCTGCGCTCAAGCTGCGATCCTCTCGTGCACCCTCAGCCTCCCCAGTAGCTGGGGACCCACAGGCTGCGCCACCAGCCAACGAGGCTCATTTTTTCTACATGATTTTCAGTTGTCACAGCAGCTAATTTCTTTTCTATTTTTTAGTAAAGAGACGGGGTCTCGATCCTTGGCTCAGGCTGGTCATCCCAACTCCTGACCCTCGAGTGATCTCCGCGTGGCCTCCCAGAGCGCTGGGATGAACAGGCGCCGAGCCACCGTGCAAGGCTCTATTTCCTCTTTCATGTCTGCTCTCTCCCTGGGCGTCTCTGTTCCCACCCCGTCCTCCTCACTCCTCCAGCAGTCTGCGCAACGCCACAGGCACTCGTCCGGCGGCCGGGGCTCAGGCGGCTGCGCTCCTCTTGGGCACGCCCAGGCAGGTTGCACTTCATGGCGCCCCCAACAGCGAGGAGACGCCCGCTGGAGGATTCCCCCAGCGCTCACCTGCAGGCTCTCGTCCCTCCGAGGCTGGTGACGCTGCACGTGCTCTGCCCGCCCGGGGCCGGGCCGCCGGTTGTCCTTTCTCCTGGTCGGGGACCACTATCGGGCTGGGAGGCTGTGCGTCGCAGCGCCGCCAAGGCCAGCGGTGGTGTGGCCGGTGGGGACTCGGCCCTGAGGGAAGTAGAGGGCCGTGGCGCGGCCCAGAGTCGGCTGGAGCTGAAGCCCTGGCCTGCAGGAGTCAAGCACTTGGTCGCGGCCGGCGCGTCCCCTCTTCTTTTGTTTTGTAGAAACAAATGGGGCCGGGGCTTTGGGGATGAGTAGGAGTTCGGATGTGGAGAATCGCCATCAGGGTGGGCACGTGAGGCAGACGCCGGGCAGCCTGTGCAGGAGAGCTCGAGAGGTTTGTAGGTTGGTACTTTGAGCCAGAATGCGGCTGGCGTCCCCTGTTTTGTTTTTTGTTTTTTGAGAGCAGTGGAGTCGGGCTGTTGGTCTCTTCAGGCTAGTGTGGGAGTGGCTTGTGTCGTGTTCAGCCTCTGGCTCAGCGACGCAACCTGCAGACTCCTGGGCTCAAGCGATCTCTCTCTCCGCTGCCTCCCACGAGTGAGCTGGGAAACTACAGGCGATGCTCGCACTACGACTGGCTAATTTTTTCTGTATATATTAGTTGGCCATATTAATTCTATTTCCTATTGTAGTAGTAGAGACGCGCTCGGTCTCGCTCTGCTCAGGCTGGTTTGCCAGACTCGGCACGGACTCGAGCGATCCTCCGCTCGCGCCTCCAGAGGGCTGGGATGGCAGGCGTTGAGCACGACGGCCGGGCCTGGGTCCCCTCTTGGGGAGACGGTTGCAGTGGGTTCTCCCGGAGGAGGAGGGACGGCGCCGGGCGGAGTGTGTGGCGGGGGTCAGGGCCTGAGCACGCAGCATCAAGCCCCAGAGCTGAGGCCGCGGCTCGCCGCGGCGACCGCGGCAGGTCCTGGTGGTCTGGGCGCCCCACGGCCGTCTACTTCCCTCGGGCCGAGTCCCCGCGGGGCCACACTCACCGCTGGCCTTGGCGGCCTGCACGCACAGCTCCTCAGCCGAGTGGTCCCCGAAGGAGAAGGACAGGCGCCGGGGTGGCCCCGGGCCCCGGGCGGGCAGCAGCACGTGCAGCGCACCAGCCTCAGAGGATGAGAGGCTGCAGGAGCGCTGGGGAATCAGCGGCGTCTCCTCGCTGGGGGGCGCCATGAGTGCAACCTGCCTGGGGCGCGCAGAGAGGCAGCGCCTGAGCCCCGGCCGGCCGGGGGACGAGGCTTGTGGCCGGGGCAGGGGACTGCTGGAGGAGGAGGAGGGGACGGTGGGAACAGAGACGCCCAGAGATATATAATTAGTTCCAATTAATTGTTTCTATTATAGTAGAGACAGGTCTCGCTCTTGCTCAGGCTTGTTGCGAACTCCTGACCTCGAGCAATCCGCCTCGCGCCTCCCAGAGAGCTAGGATTACAGGCGTGAGCCACCGGCGCCCGCCTGGGCTGCCCACCTTTGCCACCCTTCTCCACTGCGAACTCTACCTACCATCCCCCAAAGCCCTGGCCTCAGTGCTGACTCCTGCAGGCCAGGCTTCAGAGCTC